AGGAAGATCGAAGGCACAGAAGACAGACTACACAAACTACACACCACCACAGACACAGGCTGGAACTGCCCTGCCCGGCACACGCTGCTCTCGGGCTCAAAAGCAACCCGCTCCCTTCATCTGCCCAAACAGGACTGCTCCTGCCCTCCTACTCTAACTTTAAAACCCCTCCCTGCAATTCCCAGCTGTGTCCCTCCCTCCCAGCCTCTCCCCAGCCCGGGTCCCTCAACTTAACTTTCAGAGGGCCGAGGGTACGAATCCATCCTCCGCAAAAATCACATGGGCTAACTGGGACGATCCGGCAGTCGCCAGGTTCCTCTTCGTCATCTGCAGTGAAGACAAAAAAAAAAAAACAAAAAAAAAAGGCAACAAAATCAGAAGAGGCAGGAAGTAACCCATCCCCCAAAACTTTCCCAACCCCCCCCCCACTTAATCACACACACCACAGTGTTACACTTACCTGCTCATTCCAGAGTCACACCCTGCAGCCATCATCTCTCATGGTACCTGAGACAGCAAGACACACAAAATTAGCATAGCAGTCGTGAGACTCACCAGGCCCATTCTCCTCCTCCCTAATCCACAGCTCACCTCAAATGCTCATCCAAATCCAAAGGTGGCCCTCACAGCGCCTGCAAAACAAAAGATAAATGCTTAACCAAGCAACCATGTAATATTTGCTATTCAACACCAACTCAGCCCACAACCACCTCACCTTCTCAAACTCCTCATTGGCCTGCGGCATGGCTCCTCTGAGGCTGCGTGCGCCACCTGCAAAAACCAAAGCAGAAGACGCATGCTGAGAGGCCGCCCGAAACCTCAGCCTGCCCGGACCGATTCCCAACTCCCTCTCCTTTACCTTGGCCGCTCAACAAACCCGCTCTGTCATCAAGAGCTTGCCACATCAAAGCATGCATACCGCCTGCAAAAAACAAACGACAAGGGATGCTTCCAACTTTGCCAACAATACAACACCTCCAAAGGAACAGTTCCTTTAACCCAGTAGTCACGACTCACCTTGCCCGAGTCACCTCCGGTACCGATGGCCCGCTTCGCTCCTTGCTTCGCACCTTCAAAATAAAAGAAAAAAAAAGAAACCCTATCAGCTAGTCACAGAGCCACCGGCCGCATCTTCCCTCTGACTCCACTCACAGACCCACCTCCTTACGGCGCTCCGCTCCCCTCCTCCATCGCTCTGCGGCACGCATCTTGTCCCTCCGCATCTGAAAAAAGACATATTGAACGAATCACCGAGATGCAGAGCAAAAGCTTAACAATTCCAGAGGTCTTGATTCCATCTAGGAAGACCATCTGGAGTCCAACTACAGCCTGCCATGAAAAAAAAATGGGCCAAACTTTAAGCCCATCACATGCAAGCCTCAACACCTTAGAGATTCAAGTCCACTTCACCACCCCTCAACAGCCTCTGCCACAAGCCTACAATCATTTCCGTAAAAAGATCTCAACGTTGCTGT